TGCAGCAATCTCAGTGGTCTTTCTTTCTCATCCCCTCTCACTGCTTTTATTAGATGAGTTAAACAGTTACCTGACAGTAACATGAAGATGCAACAGAATCCAGTAAGGTTTTGTAGGGAAAGAGGAGAAGGAAAACTTCTGATTATAATTGTTATCAGGTAGTGGTCAGGATCTGCAGGTGACAGCCTTGGAGCAGGTACATTCTGCACAAAAGTCCTGGGTTCCTGGGCAAGGGAAAGAAAGCAGATTGACTTTAGCTTGAAAACCCTACTAGGAGCCTGAGGAGAGGGCAGTCCCAGAGGAAGAAGGATGGGTTTGAAAACAAAGTCCAAAAAAAATGAAAGAGAACAAATAAATATAAACCCACAAATACACAAAAGTGGAAGTGGGAAAATGAGTGTAACAATATGTACAGATGAAATGTTTTAAATAATGAGAGAATGGTATATAATTATATAATTATGATAATAAATTAGAAAATCCCATTGAAATGACAAATTTATAGTAACATACAAATTTATAAAATTTTCTTAGAAAAGGTAGAAAACCCTTACTAAGCCAATAATAAAGATTAGAAAAATTAGAAGTTTTAAGATTATTACCGCAACCAAGGCTCTGGGCTTGGGTGATTTTTTGATAAGTCTTTTAAAACTTTCAAGGACTTTCACCTGCTACGTTCTGTTCTAGAACATGGAAAAGGAGAGTACATTTTCTTCTTTATTAGCATTATTCTGATATCAAAAACTGACCAAGATAGTAACTGCATAAAAGAAAGAAAACCACAGATTGATTCTACTTAATATAAATGTAAGGATCTTAGCTAAAATATAAGCAAGAAGAATTCAAAGTAATGTCAGCAAGATGTCAGAATAGGAAGGTTAAGCTACTCATATCACCCCACAACAAGAATTCTGCACCTATCTATAGACAGAAGTCTCTTTGCTGGAGCCTTGGGATGTAGGTTAAAGGTTGTGAAACCCCAGTAGAGCCAAACACCTAGGAGGGTTGTTTTGAGAGTGTAGATTGGCACCAGGTGGCAGATCTGCTGACCGTGCTCCTGGGTCCATGCTGGAATTGGTCCTGTTCCCCCAAGGGGCTTGGCTGAAGCTCTGTTTGGCTCTGAGTCTGCAACCAAAATCATCTGCCAAGGGGTACAGGAGGAATCAGGCACACTAGTGCCTCAGCAGAGAGGTTTGTTTGTGTACCGACACCATTCTTGGCAGTGAACCTGAAAGTTGCCCTGTGGCTTAGCTCCAGCTTCCCTCTGCTGAGGTCCCAACTCAGAATGGCTTGCTCAAGAGCTGAGGGAGACTCGCTTATATCTTGCATCCCAGGAGTTGGAGCCTCCGTGAAGGGCTTGCTAACCTCCATACCACAGCAGATCCCAAGGGGGCCCAGTGTCAGCTACAGCTGCAGTCAGGGAACTATTCTTTCTCTTCAGAGACCTGCTGGGAGATGCACTCCCATCTGAACCAATGAGATGGGCTCAACAGCCTCTGTCCTACAGCAGATCCTGAGGGGGCCAAGTCTCAGCTCTGGCCCCTCTCACTATAGTCAGAGAATTATCTCCCATGTTGAGGGACCTGCTGGGAGACATGTTCCTGTCTAGGCCACTGGGACAGGCTTATGGGCTCAGGGCCCTGGCCAGCTTTCCCACACAGCCTGGGTACTTTTCTCAGGTATTCCCCAAATCCGTCTGGGCTGGAGAGCTGTGTCAACCTCAGAGCCCTGAGACTTGTGGCAAACCTGGGCTTAGAGATGGCTGCAGTGGTCATGTGCTCAGGGAACATAAAACTCATTCTGCTTAGACTCTCTGGAAGGCCCTCAGAAAAACAGGCACAAAGC